TTAAAAGCCAAATAGTGAAAGGGAGTGCAATAATACAATCGTATGCAAAATAACAAAATAGTGTGAACACAACATAGACCGCTACCAGACATAGGCAAAACTCTATCAGACTACCCGGTACAAAGAGGGAAAAACTATGAACTACCCCCTAGCCTACAACCCTAATGCTCGACCTCCACACGTTCCTATCAAGAGTCATGTCCTCGGAAATCTGAAGTCGCGCCCTGATCACCTCGCCCCAATTCTTCTTAGATCGCCCTCTACCTCTTCTCGTACCTGCCAAAGCCAACCGCTCGCACCTCCTAACCGGGGAATCTATGGTTCTCCACCGCACGTTTCCAAACCACCTAAGTCTCGCTTCCCGCATCTTGTCGTCCACGAGAGAAACGCCCACCTTCTCCCGAATATCTTCATTCCTTATCTTATCCAGTTTAGTATGCTCGCACATCCATCTCAACATCCTCATCTCGGCTACTTTCATCTTTTGGATATGTGAATTCTTAACTGGCCGACACTCAGCCCCATATAACATAGCCAGCCTAACCACCGCTCTCTGTAGAACTTACCTTTGAGTTTCGGTGGTACCCTCTTGTCACACAGGACTCCAGATGCTAACCGCCATTTCATCCACCCCACCCCAATGCGGTGTGTGACATCCCCGTCAATCTCCCCATCTCCCTAGATAATAGACCTAGGTACTTGAAACTTTCTCTCTTGGGGATGACTTGTGAGTCGAGCCTCACCACCCTGTCCGCTTCCCCCGACACGCCGCTGAACTTACACTCCAGATATTTCGTGTTGGTCCTACTCAACTTGAAACCTTTGGACTCCAGAGCCTGCCTCCACACCTCTAGTCTCTCATTAACACCGCTACGCGACTCATCGATCAGAACTATTTCATCTGCGAACAACATACACCATGGCACCTCCCCTTGAATATGGTGTGTCAAGGAATCCATCGTCAAAGAAAATAAGAATGGGCTAAGCGCAGATCCTTGGTGTAACCCCATAATCACCGGAAAAAGCTCGGAGTCACCTCCCGCAGTCCTGACCCGAGTCTTAGCTCCATCATACATATCCATTATCGATTCAATGTATGCTACCGGCACCCCTTTCACTTCCAGGCATCTCCAAAGAACGTCCCTAGGGCTGTCATACGCCTTTTCTAGGTCAATAAACACCATGTGCAAATCCCTCTTCCAATCCCTGTGTTGTTCCACCAACCTCCTTATAAGGTGGATAGATTCCGTAGTAGAACGTCCCGGCATGAGCCCGAACTGATTTTCAAAAATAGATACCGCCCTCCTCACCTTCCCTTTCCACCACCCTCTCCCACACGTTCATGGTATGACTTAACAACTTGATGCCCCTATATTTTGTTATAATTCTGGATATCACCTTTGTTCTTAAACAACGGAATCATCAAACTACATCTCCACTCATCTGGCATCCTCTTCGTCTTGAAAATAACATTAAACAGCCCAGTCAGCTATTCTAAGCCCGCTCTACCCACATACCTCCAAAATTCTACTGGAATCTCGTCTGGTCCTGTCGTTTTGCCCCGACTCATCTTACCCACAGCTCCCACTACCTCCTCAACCTTGATATGCCTACAGTACCCAAAGTCTCGGTGACTCTCGGAGTGTCCCAACTCCCCTAGCATGATGCTACCGCTCCCTTCTTCATTCAGAAGTTTATGAAAGTACGTCTGCCATCTATGCTTAATCTGGGAGTCTTCCGTCAATACTCTACCTTCCTCATCTTTGATGCACCTCACTTAATCCAGGTCACGAGCCTTCCTCTCTCTCGCTTTGGCCAGCCGAAATAGCTTCATGTCCCCCCCTTTGCCCCCCCCCCCCCTAGTTCCTCATACAACCGATCAAACGCAGCAGTCTTAGCCTCCGTGACCGCTAATTTTGCCTCCTTCCTAGCTTCCTTATACCTCAATCTGTTTGCTCTCCTCTGCTCCTCATCGGTACTCTCCACTAACGCAAGGTACGCAAGTTTTCTTTGCTTCCACTTTACCTTGGACCACATCATTCCACCACCAGTCGCCTCGGTGCCCGCCAAAGTAGCCCTTCGAGACCCCTAACACCTCTCTCTCCGCCTCCCTAATACAGTTCGCCATCGCCGTCCACATAGCGCTAGCATCCCACCACTCTTCCAGGCACCCATAGCCATCAACCGCCCCTCCAACTCATGCTCAGTATCCTTAGCCAAAGCACCCCACCTGATCCTCAGTTGACCCCGTACAAACCTCTTCTTCCTCTTTATCACGATACCGATGTCCATCACCAGGAGCCGATGTTGAGTCGCGAGGGTCTCACCCGGGATCACCTTAAAATCCTCGCACAACCCCCTATCACACCTCCTATGGAGGATATAATCAATCTGGGTCGTAGCCACCATACTCCGGAAAGTAACCAAATGCTCCTCCCTCTTCGGAAAACTAGAGTTCGCGATCACCAACTCAAAAGCCCTAGCGAAATCCAATAAAGAAGTACCACCTCCGTTCATATCCCCAAAGCCGAAGCCACTGTTCACCTCGCCATAACCCGGCCTCTTCTTGATACGTGCCGATTTTTGCCGTGATCCTCGCTCGATTGAGAATATTTTGGCTTTCCGTTATTTGGCCCGGTAAGCCTTCCTTGATCTTGCCCGGACTTTATCCCGCTCGATCTCGGTCTTGGCTGATCTCGATCGGTCCTTGAGTCACGAGCTTGGCAGCCTAACTCCATGCTATGGTCCGGTGCGACATGAGGTCGAACCTTGGCCTGCCATGCCCTGGTCTTGATTAATCATAAAAAAGGGGCAAGCCCGATTTTGACCGTATACAAATAGTCCCCTCGTTTTTTGGAGAGCAATGACAAGAAACAATTTGAGCTCTCGATCTTCGCTTCGATATATCATGACGTAAAGCATCATGACATAAGCAGCAAGTGGATACTCAAACGTCCCGTCGGTTAGGATACCGAGGCATTAAATGTCCTTCAGTTGTTATCGGCCACTACCGATTCTGAACCGTTGTCTTCAACCTATAAATATATCATTCTTATTTTGCCCAAACTTTACTTTCAAATCTTCTTTGCTCTAATGTTCAAAATCCTTTGCCTCCATAAAAGCTTTGAACTTTCAGATCATTGGTGTTTCTTCGCCTCTTTCCTCACAAAATACCAAGCGTTTCTTCTCAATTTCCATTCTTCTTCACTCGTAAAAATGGATAAGACTTCAAAAACTGTTCCGCAAAAGGAAGCTGCTTCCTCGTCCCCGCCGGCCAGCGAGCAACCAACGGCGGAGCCACGCCCTGAAGAATTCTTTCCCCAAGGGTGCGTCATCGACTCCGACTTCAAGGTTGAAAAGACCCCCTCGGTTCCAGGTCGATATGAGCCAATGTCAAGGTATATATGCACGATCACCGGTGATGTCCTCGACCAAGTTAAGGAGGACTGCAACTGGGTCGACAAGCACATGGTGGTGCCCTCGCTTGAGGAATCAATCACTACCCATATGGAAGGGTTTCTAAGTGTTACACTTATCCTTTCACATTGGGTCCGGTTATTATAAACTTCTGCAAGAAGTACGAAGTGACGCTTGGCTTCATCCCTCTTTCTAGAGGATAGTGATACTACTTCGTTTCTTAGTAAGCCATGTCGTTGGGCTTCCCTTTTCCCCGGACCACCTCATACGCCTACATGGCCCCCGACTCTATCGAGGGGGACTAATAAAGCTTCAATGTCGGGCCTCCAAGGCACCTTTCTCGAGCATAGATGAGGGCAAGGATCGGGGCTGGATGGGCCGATTTGTCCGAGTGAAGACCTCGGACTTGATCCCGGCCGAGAGTATGCCATTTCCTGAGAAATGGAATATGAAACGTAAGTATAATTCTGTCCTTAATTTCTGCTTATTGTCTTCATCTTTTCATCCTTCCTTATCAGCATTTTACTTGAAGCAGCCGTTGCCCGGATGCTGGGTGCGGTTCCCTAACTCGAGAATTGGGTCAGGAGCTTAATATCGAAATCGACACATGCTGAGCGTGCATGGTGCGATTTGACGAATCGATGGGAGGCCCATAACCATGGTAAATTTGTGACTTAACAATTTGACTATTGTTCGAATTCCCCTTCGATCTTACTTATCTTTCTTTTGTAGGTATCGGGAAGGATGTGCTAATGAGGCCCCCATCTGGCGATGAAGAAATCTTTCCCCAACCATCTGCTCTGAAGCAGAAGAAAGAGCGGAAGAGGAGCTTTCGAGTTCCATGAAGTCGGTTGAACAGAAGCCCAAAAAGAGGCGAACCCGAAAACCCAAGGGAAATGTCATCCCTCTATCAATGGACTCGGTCCGTCGGCTATTAGATAAGTCCGAGGAAGATGAAGAGGAAATCGGGCTGGCGGCCCGAGTGCGAGCTGGAGTTGATACTCAAAAAATCTCCGAGCCGGTGGGAGCTGAAACTGCTCTGCCTCGACTTAATGAGCCCGAGGGGGAAGCCAGCCAAAGTCCCTAAGCCAGAAAGAGCTAAGTCGCCTCCCCTCAAGGTGAGAAGACTATCAAGGAGACCACAGAGGCTGATGTAGAAACCATGTCTGAGACCCCCCCCCCCCCCCCCGAGATGAAAGCGGCGCCCCAAAAGATTTGCTTGGGGCGATTGAGATTGGAGATTCCCCTTCATTGCCTTCATTATCTGATTCGATGATCAAGGATGCTCAGGCGATGGAGACTTGCCATGCGGAAGGGGTCCATAGGGCAGACGACCCTTTCCGTGGTTACTTTGTTGAGTGGAAGACGTCACCGGTTTGGGTGACTTGTAAATACCGAGGAAGATCTCGAATGAATCCTTCTCGAGCCTTAAACTGACTGATCAGTTCCCGGCCCCCAGCGTCGATCCCGGGCGTAAACGATCAATTGTCATCTCGGTCGCGGAGGACGCTCAGGTTCTCTCTGCCCCCGTAGGGGTGGCTAGCTACCTCTTATGCTTGGTCACCTAAAAAGACCAAGCCAAGATGGATGAGGTGGAAACACCTTGTCTTTTCAGTGAAGCCCGGCAAGCTCTAAACCGAGTAATCCCAGATTTCCCTGTCGATGTCAACTTTCATACATAGATTTTTCTCTCTTTATATAACTTCCTTTTCTATTTTGTAGGCTTCTGTGCTTCATCATGAGGGTTTCCTCCAATTCCGAGGGGAGCTGAGTCGGTATGAGGCCGAGATTCGAGGGATTATTGAGGAAAAGGATGCCTTCAAGCTTCTCAGCGAGCAAAGAGAAGGGGAAGCTAAAGGCCTCCATGCTGAGCTAAAAATGACTCAAAAAGAACACGCCGAACTGGTCGAGCAGGTAAGAAGAATATTTGAAGTTAGTGACGGCGATTCGGGCATGGTAGCTAATGGTTTGAACTCGCAGGTCCAACAAAATCTTGACGTGATCAGGCAACTCCGTGAAGAGGTTGATGCAATAAAAATTGAGGCCGAAGGGTGGAAGAAGAAAATGGATCGCCTGGCCTCGGCTGAAAACCAGCTCCGAGGTATGAAAGAGGAAATCTTGGTGCAGGCCAAGAAAATCGACGAGCTCCAGTCCTAGTTGGGTTCGGTAGTTTTTGCTCAGGAGAACCTGGTCGCGGAGCTCAAAGCCGCCAAATCTGAAGTTAAGACAGCCAAGGCTGATGCTGATGTAGTGGTGGCCATTTACCGGGCCGATGCTGAAGCCGAAGCCGCTCCGATTCGAGCAAAGGAAGTTGCCGAGGCTGCTCAGGTTCGAGTAAAGGGGGTTGCTGAGAAGGCCAAATATCAATCTCGAAAGGAGACCCTCGAGGAAATCCATGCTCAGGGTTTTGACCTTACAACCGAGATCGAGAACGCTAGGGAGCTCGAAGCTGAAGCTAGGAAATTAGCTTTCCCGATGATAATGATGAATCTGGGAGCTTAAGTGAATCCGAAGTGGAGAAGACCCCGAGGGCGGAGATGCCTCTCTCGGAGACGACTGGGCCACTTAGGCTTTTAAATAGTTTTTGTATTTCTTCTGAGGCTGGTTCGGCCTTTGTAAAGAACCTCCATCGGGCCGAGTTGCCCTTGTAAAAAGTTTTTGATGATTATATAAAAAATTTCCCTTTCATACCTTCTGAGTCTGTTGCCTTTTTTATTTTAAGGTCAGAACGTCTTAGCATAAAATAATGATGTTGTCATAAAATTATGATGTTGTATTCAAAGGTCCAAGGTTCAGATGGGAAGGACCGGTAATAAGTACTGCCCTCGACTGTTTTTTGATCGATAATCCCTGAGCGAGTCTTCGAACTTGAATTAAGATAGACCGTCCCCGAGTGAGGATTTGTTTAAACTCGATTTAAGATAGACCGTAGTCCCCGAGTGAGGATCTGTTCGAACTCGATTTAAGGTAGCCCTTAGGCTTTCTAGTCGAGTGAGAATGATCTCTCGAACTCGAGGTAAAAGTATCCCTTGGGCCTTTGCATTTCGTGTTTGGATGATCTAGCCCTTTTTTAAAAAAACATCGTTTATGTACATATATGATACTTTCCACCCTTTTCGGCTCTAAAATTTTTCCTTTGTTTTATTGCTTGTTGTAGACATGTGAATTTTGACCCTCCCCAAGATTTTTTTATATTTTAGCACGTAAATATTTAATTTAGGCTTAATATAGCTATTTCAACTCATTTTGACTCTTTTACTTTATTTTATTACAAGAAAAATAAAAATTACAAAAAAATATTTTAGTTTATGTATTTTTCATAAATTTAAAAAAAAATACAAAAATAGTACCTTATTTTTATCTTTATATAATTTCGAAAACACAAAAATAGTTTCATGTTTAGTTTAATTAATTAGGATTAGTTTTTACATTGTGTAGTATTTTTATCTTATTTTAAAAGGAGTCAATTAAGGTGTTGGATCACAATTTTAAGAGTTTTAGAGCCCAGTTCTGGGCCCAATTCGGATTAGTCCATTAAGCCTAGAGACCCTTCTAGACTCTTCTTTGGAGCAAAAACAAATAAAAAAAAAGACCCTAAGGACTTAACACAAAAAAACCTAAGGACTAATTAGCAAAATACACCTACACCTAGACTCTACATATAGAGTAATGCCTAAAATCTAAAAGAAGAGATAACGCCTCTAGAAACCTTCAGCCGCAGAACTAAGAACCCACCCCCACTGATCATTTTCCTCAACAAAAAACATAGAGAGATTAAAAGAGAAAGCAGCCCCAAGCAACCCCGATTCCAACTGAAAAATCACTCCAAACCTTACCCGAACAACCCCTGTTTTCCACCAGCAAAACCAGATCTAAAATCTGCAAACTCCAGCCCGAAATCTACTCCAGAAATAGTTCAAAAACGAGCTAAAAAACAGCTCAATTTCCCAGCGAAAATCAGCTTCAAAACCAGTCTGAAAATCAACTCCAAGACAGCCCTGAACCGGCACCAAAGTCACGCCAAATCAGCATGAAAATCAGTTGAAAGTAACCCCAAAAATATCTCCAAACCAGCTCGGATAACCAGTCCAAAACGTCACGAAATCCCAGCGTATCCGCCCTCACAGCATTCTCTCTATGGGTCAGTGAAGGGGTCGAGTCCGTCGAGGTTGACGTAGGAGTTCTTCAACTGAAGGTTCCTGTTCGTTGAGTTTGTTTGTTGCTCATTTTGGTCGCCGCCTTGCCTGGTCTGTTGGATTCATTAGCTCAAAGCTCTCTTATGGCACTTGTCTCTGCTGTACAACTTTGCTCCAGGAATTTTACAATCAATTGGGAAATCGATTTTGGCTTCATAAAAGGTCCAGTTCCTTAATTACTTTCATTTTATATTATTCTATTATTAGATAAATATCTTGCTAAAAGTATTTTTTTTTTCCTGTTTTGAAAGTCTTGAATGTCGCCATATATTAATATGTGTTAGCATGTCTTAAAGATTATTGATTGTTGAATACGATTAATCTTTTAAAATAAGTTAAGTTACTAAATGAGCTCACATTTATTTATTTGGAATTGGACGTGGGATATGGGAATAATGGAATTGCTTCTGTTTGTTTAATAACTTTAAAGCAAGATAGAAAAGTTTGATGACAAAAGAAGTGACATTTGGAAGGAACGATTTTAGATTCTTGGCCAGAAGAATTCTGTCATGGCCTATAATAATAAGCTAGTCTATTTTAATAGATAGCAAATTAACTCAAAAGATGGAATAGTCGGAAGAATAAAATTTCAAAACTCGTGGCCCTCTTTAATTACTTCATTAAAATATTTAGAATTCGGGACGTGCCATTTAGCGAATTTTCATGGCCTCCCGCGAAGATAATAACACGCTAGTCGCTTTAGGCGCGCTTTTTTTTAATAATATTACTTTCCTAAATACGGGTGTGCATTTCATGCAACCCAAATCCAAATCCCAAAATGTTGAATAAAAATGTGTCGAGGATACGGGTGCATTACATGTGACGTGATCCAAAAACACGTTTTCAAACGACGTTCACTTTCTTAAATTTTTTAATTAAAAGCGGTTAAATAATTCTAAAATTGCACCATAGGATGACATGTATTAAAACCAGATTTTAGCCAAATATAGCAGTTGAGCGACCGTGCTAGAACCACGGAACTCGGGAGTGCCTGACACCTTCTCCCGGGTTAACAGAATTCCTTACCCGGATTTCTGGTTTGCGACTGTTAAACAGAGTCAAACCTTTTCCTCGATTCGGGATTCAAACCGGTAACTTGGGACACCATAAATCTCCCAAGTGGCGACTCTGAACTTCTTAATAAACGAATCCCGTTTCGATTGTCCTTTAATTGAAAAAACTCCTTTATTATACCTTTCACGGGGTGTAGTAAGAAAAAAGGAGGTGTGACACTTGTATTCATAAATGTTGGAATGCCTTAGCATAAAATAAATAAAGTTGTGTTCGAGGGTTCGAATAAACCTTGCCTTTATTACCTTTTTGGGTTAAGGCGTTATCGGGGTTCGGTGTTACCGAAGTTTTTCCCCGAAACTATCTTAAGTTTAAGATTCTGCCGAGGGTAGCCTTTAGAACCGGTTGTGAAAGAATTTTTTCTTTTTCGAAGGCCTATATTTGTTATGGATTTCGGACGTCTCCGAAACGTGTTAAATTGGTTGTAGCCTTGTAGTTCGGGTATGGCCTAGTGAGCTTTCTTTCCTGAGTTATCTAGGCTTGCCTAAGATAACAGTCACTCGGGTATGGTCTTGGCCTTTAACATATGAGGGTTGCCTAAGAGGTCTTATGCCCTCGACGTTCAATAGTTCGATCTATTCGAGTTTATTTTACGGACGACAATCCCCGAGTGTGGGAGTGACTATCCGAACTCTAGTTACAATCGGCCTTTGGGCTTGTTTCCATAATAGATCAAAAGTACGGGGTTGTAAAGTGGAAATTTTTCCAAGACATCAGATAGCTGCAAGGAAAGTAATTTTCTTTATTCTTGTCAAAAATAGTCACATGTGCGTACATGTTTTATATCAGGCCTCGAGCAATCTATGTGGGCACGGTTCGTTTTGATTTTGGCCCTTATAATAAATCCTATTTATTAAGACCCTTCCATTTCGAAATAAATTTCCTTGCTATAACAATTCAATATCCGAGGGTAACCCCCCTCCCCCAGTATTTGAGGTTGATTGTAAAGAAATCTCGGATACTATAAACATAGTCTTTGATACCGATTTGTGATCGGACTTCAATTCTAAGTTAGCACGATCCATTGTTGTCGCGTTAAAAACCTTACCGAAAAACCCAATCGGGACAAAAACAGTTCAAGGGAAAAAGAGTGCAACGCGTGCTTTCAGACCTAAAGGTTTCGTGACGCTCCTTGTCGATAACCTGCAAGTGTTAGGCAAAAAATAGAAAGAATTGAAATGTGGTCGTACCTCAGCAGTAATACCGTTTGAGATGGGTTACGTTCCAATTATTTGGTAGCTGTTCTCCATCCATCGTTCCGAGCTTGTAGGATCCTTTCCCTGTGATCTCGAGCTTCCCAGTTCGGACCCAATTTTCCTTTATTTGGATCGGGTGTTTAACGTGACCTTCCTCAATACCAAGTCTCCGACATTAAAATATCGAAGGTTGTCCCTTCGATTGTAATGCCTTTCATTCCGTTGTTTCTGGGCAGCCAATCGAACAAAGGAAACTTCACGTCGTTCATCTAATATCTCCAGACTCGTATTCATGGCCTCGTCATTCGATTCTTCGTCGCATATTGGAATCTGATGCTCGGCTCCCTGACTTCGACCAGTATTAAAGCTTCGGTGCCATAAACCAAAGAGAACGGGGTTGCCCCGATACTGGACTTCGAAGCTATGTGATACGCCCAAAAGACTTCGGGCAGGATTTCTCTCCATTTTCCTTTGGCGTCGGCCAACCTTTTCTTGAGGTTTTTATTATGGTTTTGTTGGTCGATTCGGCTAGCCCATTTCCACTAGGGTGATAAGTTGTTGATAAGATCCTTTTGATCTTAAGGCCTTCGAGAAATTTGGTCACCTTGCTGCTGATAAACTGTTTTTCGTTATCACATGCAATTTCGGATGGTATTCCAAATCGACATACGATGTGGTCCCAAATGAAGTTGATGTCTTCTTTCTCCCTGACCTTCTGGTAGGCCTGTGCTTTAACCCACTTAGAGAAGTAGTCAGTCATAAATAAAATAAATTGATCCTTACCCGGTGCCGATGGAAGAGGGCCGACGATGTCCATTCCCCACTTAATGAATGACCATGGGATAAAACTGAATGCAGCAACTCCCCAGGTTGGTGAATGATCGGAGCATGTCTTTGACATTTATCATATTTTTGCACAAACTCCTTTGCATTTTTTTTCTTCATATCAACCCAGTAATATACGGCTCTGATTACCTTTCGAACCAGTGATTCGGCGCCTGAGTGATTCCCGCATGTGCCTTCGTGGACTTCCCTCAAA